AAAAAAAAAAAAGAAAAAAAAAATCCCAAACTTGTCACAAGAAAGAAAGAACATTTTCACACCAGAGAATAGCACGTAAAACAAAACGAAGGATGAAGAACTGTAGGACCTCATGCCAACCCCCCCATACCCGCTGGCACAGAACACACACACCCATACCGGCTGGCACAGAACACCCCCCCCATACCCGCTGGCACAGAACACACACCCCCCATACCCGCTGGCACAGAACACACATCCCCATACCTGCTGGCACAGAACACACACACCCCATACCCGCTCGTACAGAACACCCCCATACCCGCTGGTAGAAAACACACACCCCCATACCCGCTGGTACAGAACATCCCCCATACCCGCTGGCACAGAACATACCCCCCAATACCCGCTGGCACAGAACACACCCCCCCATACCTGCTGGCACAGAACACACCCCCCCATACCCGCTGGTACAGAACACACACCCCCATATCCGCTGGTACAGAACACACACCCCATACCCGCTGGCACAGAACACACACCCCCTACCCGCTGGCACAGAACACACACCCCCATACCCACTGGTACAGAACACCCCCCATACCTGCTGCTACAGAACACACACACCCATACCCGCTGGTACAGAACACCCCCCATACCCGCTGCTACAGAACACACACCCCCATACCCGCTGGTACAGAACACACACACCCATACCCACTGGTACAGAACACCCCCATACCCGCTGGCACAGAACACACACCCCCTACCCGCTGGCACAGAACACACACCCCCATACCCGCTGGTACAGAACACCCCCCATACCTGCTGCTACAGAACACACACCCCCATACCTGCTGGTACAGAACACACACACCCATACCCACTGGTACAGAACACACACACCCATACCCACTGGTACAGAACACCCCCATACCCGCTGGCACAGAACACACACACAGGTCAAGTCAGGCCCCAGACTGACACAAAGGGCAGAAAAAACGAACTCTCCACTAATCAAGAGGAAATTTAAAAATGCTTCTGAAGGGGACAGACGTACTGCCCCTAACCTGGCTGCGCCTGGAGGCTTTCCTCTCTGCTTCTGCTTTTCCCAAGCAGTTACTGTTACTGTTATTGTCACTGTCGTTGTAGCTGATGACAGACCCAGTGCCACGTCAGCTCTCTGGCCCTGTTCTAGTATCACCATGGCCCGCACGCCACGGGAACCGTCCCCTGTCCCCAGTGAGCCCCGACACAGCCACGCCTCGGATCCTGGGCAGAGCCAGTCCCCTCCAGCGCACACAGAGGCGCCGGTGTCGGTGAGGAGCCCCGGGACACGGGGCCTCACGCTGCCACAGGGGTCTGCGGCATCACTGACGGCTTCTGAGCCCCCACACACGGGGCAGCTTTTACACACTCAGGCATGTGAGTCAGCTACTTCATAAGTGGCACAGGACAGCCGTTTAGCCCCTTAATACGCTGCAATAAACATACATAGAAACACGCATACAAACTCACGGCGTGCGAGTTCGAGCCCTGTCTGGGGCTCTGAGTGCTTCAGATCCTGTCTCCTCCCTCTCTTCCTGTACTGCGCGCACGGGCTCTCACTCCCCCAAATAAATACACGTTTAAACAAAACATGCCTCAGAATCGGGGCCCCTGGGCAGCTCAGTGGGTTGGGCGTCTGACTCTTGGCTTCAGTTCAAGTCATGATCTTGGGGTTTGTGAGTTTGAGCCCTGTGTCAGGCCCGGCGCTGTTAGCCTGCTGTGAATTCTCTCTCCCCAACTTTCTCTGCCCCCCCCCCAAGATAAATAAACTTAAACAAAAACAAAAACAATAACAAAAAACATATATACACACACATGCCTCAGAATAACCCGGCATCGCACTAGTTGGTCCTCAACGTCTACATTCGGTCTCAGACTGGACCCACTCCAGCCTGGGTGCCAGTGGGAACTTATTCTGCACACACTTGAGGGCCCAGGGGTGCCCGGCTACAGGGGTGCGGCAGGAACACGGGCCTAACTTTAATCCCCGGAGACAAGCCAGGCAGGTAGACAAGACATCAAGAAAAGCTGCTGACTTCTGTGTCTGCTCTGCAAGACCTAATCACGAACTGGTCAGGAAAATGCCCAAAATGCAATGACCAGCTCACAGACCGGGACCAGGCCCAGGTCCTTAAAGCACCATCAACAGCTCTTTAGGGGACTGAAGGGGGAAGAAGCCCCCGGGCTCACAGAGCAACGGCGCAGGGTACAGCCACGGGGCCCGGAGCCACTCAACGTCAGAGGGGACCGGGCGTGCACACACCCACGTGGGACTCTATTTTGCTCACGACACTGTCTCTATCCCTTGAGACACCCCCACTTCCTGCCTGTCCCCTTAACCCTTACAGAATTCAGATTTCCCACTAGATTTTCTAGATTCGGCAGGAGAGTGAGCAGCAGCGACGGCACAAATCTCAGGAGGCAGCGTTGCACAGGATCTTGGGAGACGGGCAGGGTCTTTCATTTGGGGGCTAAAAATATCGCCCCGATCCAGGAATTACAGGGACGGCCGTGCTCGAACGCTCTCGGTGACCTGATCTCCTAGCTCCAGGCACCTGCGTCCAGAGCCACGTGCTCCCCTGCTCCGCACGAGGATGCGAAGCTCTCGCCCCACGGTCGCCCCTCCAACAGGGCTCGCGCCTCCTTGGCGGGGGACCCAAGGGTCTGGCGGCTCCGGGGACACGGAAGTCAGCCCACGAGGCTCCGAGGCGGCGCACACCCGTCTCCGTCCGCAGGGGCCTAGAGAGCCCGGGCGTCCCGAGCGGTCCCTGTTCATCAGATGAACCAAGCGCGGGCCCAGCAGCTCCTTCCGCCCACGAGCCCGAGGCCACACGCTCACCAGCCGCTGCCCCAGACGTGGTGCACGATGTGGGGTCTGTATTCATTCCAGCACTTTCTGATCTGGGACAGGCTGCACTCCAAGGCCACCTTTCCCAAACAGAACCCTTTTCTGGGGCAAATACAGGGCGCCTTCCTAGGGGCCACACCAGCAGGCTGGGGTCTTCCTTTACTTACCGTACTCTTCCGGGACCTGCATCCCAAAAAGCCCCAGGCTCTTCAGTTTCTCTAACGTTTCATCTGGGATTTTTCCCTCGCGGTCAATTCTTTGCGAGTCCACTGCCAAGAGGAAAGATTCTGATTAAGCAGAAGAGAAGCTGTGTCGATACAAATAAAAGTACACGATTTTCCCAGGCTCGGGGGCTTCACGGCAGAGGTGTCTAGTCACAGTTACTCAGCAGGGGTGCAAGTCCGCCTGGTTCAGTAGCCCAGCCAGCGCCTGATCTTGGAAACCGTCCAGCACCTGAAGCGTTCTGTATCTGGGTGCTATTCACGTGGGTGTGTTCACTGCATAAAACTCCAGCGAATTACATGACATACACTTTCTTGGAGGTGTACTATACCTGAGTTTTTATTACCATTACCTTCTGGAAAACTAGAAAGTAAGTATGCAACTTCCGGAACCGTCCAAAATGTGAGGCTAGACAGCCAAGTCCTGGGCGGTATCTGTACACACATCTACCCAGCGTCCAGAAGCCGGGGCTCTCGCCGCAGCCCACAGGTTCCGAGGACGGGGTCATCTGTCACACCTGCTCACCCCCTCAGAGCGGAGGCCCCCCAGCATCAGGTCTACAGTCATGCACGTTGGATTTGCACAATTTTGCTGAAGCAACTGAAAGTGTTCTTTCAAACTGTCAACAAATTAAGCTTCACTACTAATGTAAATTCAAAAACCTACCATAACCTATACTTGAGAATGAAAAAAAATTTTTTATTGTTTTCATTTATTTTTGAGAGAGAGAAACACAGAGCATGAGCAGGGGAGGGAAGGAGGGAGGGAGGAAGGGAGAGAGAGAGAGACGGAGAGAGATATGGAAACAGAATCTGACGCAGGCTCCAGGCTCTGAGCTGTCACCACAGAGCCCAACGCGAGGCTTGAACTCCCGAACTGTGAGATCATGACCTGCACTGAAGTCAGCCACTTAACCGACTGAGCCACCCAGGCTCCCTGATACTTGGGAATTTTTATGCACATGGGTCACAAATGAGAAATACGGATTCCCCCCAAAGAGTCCAAACCTCTCATTTTTTATCTTTTTTTACAACTTTACTGACATATACAAGTGGCACATAATAAACCGCACATATTTACAATATATAAGTTTTTGAGTTCTGACATCTGCCCATAGCTACCGTATGGGTAAAAAACAGTTTTTCCATTCACCTCTCGATGACATTTGGTTTTCGGGTTTGGGTTCTTAGAAATAAAGCTTCTGTGAACATTGGTACTCAAGTTTTCGCAGAGCTCTGTCCTCACTTCTGGGGCCCTGCCCTGGGGTGGCATCTGTGGGTGTACGGTGGAGCGTGTGTGCGTGCGTGTGTGTGTGCACTGGGGCCCTGCCCTGGGGTGGCGTGCATGGCTGTACGGTGGAGCGTGTGTGCATGCGTGTGTGTGCACTGCGGGCAAGACTCTGAGTGCGGTTCTGTGCTCCTCTCGCGAGCTGGTATATTTCGTAGCGGGGCACATTCGTCACTAAGCCTCACTACTGGCGATACCAACCTTGAACACTGAGCAAGCTGGTGTCTGCCCCGGTTCTCCACATAAAGGCACTATTTTCCCCTCTGTAATGAGTATCATCGGGGAACTACTTCGAGGTTATATAAACAAACTGCTTCTCCTCAGACTTTAACCCGTTAACACGAGCATCCGTATAGTGGAACTTGGCTACAAAATTTTTATTTAATGTGTGCTTCATGATTATTTTCTATTTCTACGATCACTTCTATGCTTATTAAGCGGAAGAGAAACCCACTTGGAGTATAAAACACAAATCAGTCAAGAGGATGAACAAAACGTACACACTGACACTAACCAAGAGACAGCTGGTGGCTGTCCCACTCCAGGCTGCAGCTCAGGCTGTGACCTCACGTTCGTGAGATCGAGCCCTGCACTGGGCTCCGTGCTGCAGTGCAGAGCCTGCTTGGGATTCTCACTTTGCCTCTCCCCTACGCATGCTTGCTCTCTGTCTCTCTCTCAAAACAAACATTTTTAAAGAAGGAGATTCTCTCCTTCTCATCCAGGGGGCGCCTGGGTGGCTTAGTCGGTTGAGCGTCTGACTTTCGCTTGGGTCATGATCTCGCGGTTCGTGGGTTCGAGCCCCGCGTCGGGCTCTGTGCTGACTGCCAGCTCAGAGCCTGGAGCCTGTTTCAGTCTGTGACTCCCTCTCTCTCTGACCCTCCCCTGCTCATGCTGTCTCTCTCTCTTAGAAATAAATAAAACATTAAAAAAAAAAATTTAAAGAAGGAGAGAGAGCTTGAGTAGCAACACCAGGCAAGGTGTTATCACCACGGATGAAAAGGTCATTTCATAAGGTGTCAAGTGAACACGAAGATAAATAATCCTGAATTTTCATGCACCTGATAAAGCCTCAAAATACATGAAAAAACCCGGGCAGAAATGAGAAGGAAACACACACAACTATTCTAGAAAGGTCAACATCCTTCTCTCATTTACTGATGGAAAGAGTCACTACAAATGTTGTGAGGATCCATTAGATTTGAACAAACGGTCAATCTGTCCTACCTGACATTTACGGAACATTCAAGCAAACGATGGGAGACTGCTGGTTCGAGTGGACAGGGAGGGGCACCCACACGGCGGACGTGAGCACGGCCGTAAAACACGTTTCAATAAAGATAACGGGACTCAAATTACACAATGTTCTCTGACCACAATGGGCTACATTCTAGAAATCAACGATGGAAGTATCAGCACAAAGCCTAAAGTCTTTAAGAGGACAGAGAAGATTATAAACAACTTCAAGTCAGTAAGCCCACCAACTGTGAGAAAATGAACAAATTCCCTAAAATTTATGAACCATCCAAGTTCACAGAATAAATTACATAATCTAAACAGTCTATGTCTATTAAAGAAATTGAAGTGGTTAACTTTTCCATTAAAAAATTCAAGGCTCAAACGGTGTCACTGGTGAATTCCGCCAAATATTTGATGAAGAAATAATACCAACTTTACACAGTCTCACAGAAACTCAGAGAGGAGGAAACATTTCCTGACTTAGTCTAAAGGCAGGCCAGCTTTATTCTGATTTTTAAAAATCACAGAAAATTAAACTACAGACAAGTATGTCCAGGAACACAGATGCAAACATCCTTAAAATTTTAGCAAACTGAACCCGACAATACATCGCGACCAGGTAAGTACAACTTATCCTGGAAACGAAACACTGGGTCAACAATTAACATGTAATTTATGTCAATCGAGTAAAGGCAAAAGATAATCATCTTAAGAGATGCAGAAAAAGCACTGGACAAAATTCGATACAATTTATGATGAAAACTGTCAGCAAACTAGAAATGGAAGGAGACTCCCTTAACCTAGTAAAGGGCGTGGACCAAAGTACAGCTAACATCACACCTGGCGGTAAAAGACCGGATGCCCCTCCCTGAGATGAGGAACAAGGCGAGGAAGTCGGCTCTGACTGCTCACATTCAACACCACTGGAGACTGTAGCCACCACAGTAAAACAAGGGAGAGGAAGAGAAACCAGACCGGAGAGAGAGAAAGAAAACTGCCCTTCACGGCCACCACTGTTTATGCAGACAACCCTCCCGACCTCCCCCAAACCTCCTCGCACTAAGTGAGCTTAATAAGGGGGCTCTTTCTAGGTTTTCTCTCGATTAGCATTTCCATTTTGTTCCTGCATTCTGGACTTTCTTCACGCCTTCCACGGGTTCTCTGAGCATCTTTAAGATGGCAGGTTTAAAGTCTGTCTAGTAGATATCCTCCATCAGCTCTTTTACAGAAACAGTTTCTATTTTTTGGTTGCATTTATTTTGTTTTTCTTTGAACAGGCCACTTGTTCCTGCTTCTTTGTATGCCTTGGGATTTTTTTTTTTTTACTGGACATTTGAACCTGATAATGTGGTAACTCTGGAAATCAGATCTTCCCCAGAGCCTGCAGAGTTTCTGCTTTTGCTTTTTGTGGATATGCAGCGTTGTCTAAGTTGAAGGATACTGCATATTGAATTGGATACATTTACATATTGCAGTAAGATGGCCACTGTAGCCTTAGCTAATGCTTCTATTACATCGCATATTTGTCATTTCTTTTTTGGGGTGGGAATAAGACCTAATGACTTTGCACATTTGGTATTTATAACACAGTTTTTGTCTATAATCACTACACTGCTACAGATTTATTTATCTACTAGTTGCAAGTTTGTATCTTTAAACATCGTTCCTACACTGTCACCCCCTGGTAACTACCATTCCAGTTTTTAGGAGTGGTTTTTTTTTGGATTTTACGTGAAAAGGATCTCTTACAGGATTTGTTTTTCTCCGAATAAACTCACTCAGCATTACGTCCTCAAGGTCTATCCATGTTGTTGCAAATGGCAGGATTGTGTTTCTATATACACACAACTCACACCTTCTTTATCATCAGTTGATGGATACTTGGTATTGTGATTAATGTGCTGCAATAACAATGGGAGCACACATCTCTGATACCCTAGTTTCATTTTCGTTGGGTATATACCAAGTAGAACTGACAGGACTTTTGGTAATTTTTCAAGTAGGTTCCATGTCCAGCATGGAGCCCAGCATGGAGCTTGTCCTCACTCACAATCCTGAGATCAAGATCTGAGCTGAGATCAGGAGTCAGACACTTAACCAACTGAGACACCAAGGCACCTCTGTAATTCTATTTTCTTTTTTCTTTTTTTTTTGGGGGGGGTGGAGAGGGCACAATTGAGGGGCAGAGAGAGAGAGAGAGAGAGAGAGAGAGAGAGAGAGAGAGAGAAAAGTTGGGGCCTGAGCTCACCAGATGCGAGACTCAAACTCCCGAACTATGACATCATGACGTGAGCTGAAGTCAGATGCTTAATGACTGAGCCACCCAAGTGCCCCATATTTTCAACTGAGGAACCATAATACTCTTTTCCACGACATCTGAAACAATCACGTTCCCTTTTCTCAAGAGTGCACAGATTCCCTTTCCTCTACCTGTGTGTCAACACCTTTATGTCCTCTTCTTGAGGAGAGCCATGCTAGTAGGCGTGGGGGCACTTCACTGTGGTCATGACCTGCCTTTCCCTGATGGTTTCTGATGTCGGCTACCTCTTCATGTACCTGTTGGCCATGTGTATGCCTTCTCTGGAAAAATGTCTACTTTGTTCCTCTGTCCTTTTTTTTAAGTGGATTGCCTGGGTTTGCTACTGAGTTGTAGGAGCTCTGTATGCATTTTATAGATTAACCCCCTTATCCAATATATGCTTTGCAAATATTTTCTCCCAATTCTTAAGTGATGGTTTCTTTTGCTGTGCAGAAGTCTTTACGTTTGCTATAGCCCCACATGTTGAGTTTTGCTCTTTTGTTGATTGTACTTCTGATGTTTGGTTTTTCAAAAAACTGTCATTTTTTAAACAGTGCCAGTCATCAGCCTCAGATATAAATCGAAGGCTTCTGAAGTCCTTCCTGAGTCGATGCCTTTCCCTGGGCCTATGTGCTGACTTTCTAATTCCACCTGCATATATGGTTGCTTTTGATGTCCTGGTCTTCAATCGGGCTCCCTAAAGAGGAAAAAGAAAAATGAAGGGGGGACAAAGAAGACACAGCATCCCTGTCACTTGAGCCACAGGGGAAAGGGTCTGCAGCAATGGGAGAAGGTGAAGAAGAGTCTCTGCCTTTCGGTCTGTACGCCTGTGATCAGAAGCAGCGGTCAGAGCACAGATCCCTAACACGTGAGGGCCAGGGTCCTTCGGTGCCTCCGGCTGCCGCAGGCCGTGTGCACGCTCGCTCCTCGGGGCTGGCGGCGGACGGCGGGCAGCTGCTACTGTGCTCAGGATGCACAGACCAAAGCAAACTGCAGTTTACCATCCAAGCACCCCTGGAAGTCGAAAGCCCTGAAGGGACTCCAGGGTCCCCAGAACAGAGCGCACAGATTCCGCCGCTGTCGCCCAGGCAGGGCAGATAGGGCCCTGGGGCTTCCCACCTCTGCCACTGTCCGGAACTCTCTGGTCCGCTGGTTGCTGGCAAAGGCACCAAGAGGATTAAATGGGGAAAGGATTCTCTTTTCAACAAATATTGCTGGAACCACTGGACAGTCATATGCAAAAATATCCTCAACCTTTACCTCACATCAGATCTAAAATTAACTGGAAAAGGGTCATAAATCTGAATGTTAATGGTTACAAACAGAAGCCTTCTAAAGTAAATATAAACAAGAATTACCAAGACCTTAGGTTTGGCAGATTTCTTAAATACAAAAAAAAAAAAGATGAACTACAAAAAAAAATTGTACTTATCAATATTAAAAACTTTTCTCCTCATCAGGGAAATACAAATCACAACCACACTGAGATACCACCTCACACCAGTCAGAGTGGCTAAAATGAGCAAATCAGAGAATTCTAGGTGCTGGCGAGGATGTGGAGAAACAGGCACCCTCCTACACTGTTGGTGGGAATGTAAACTGGTGCAGCCCCTCTGGAAAACAGTGTGGAGGTTCCTCAGGAAACTAACAACAGAACTCCCCTAGGACCCAGCAATAGCACTGCTAGGAATTTACCCAAGGGATACAGGAGTGCTGATGCACAGGGGCACATGGACCCCAATGTTCATAGCAGCACACTCTCCACAATAGCCAAAACATGGAAAGAGCCTAAGTGTCCATCAATGGACAAATGGATCAAGAAGAAGTGGTTTATCTATACCATGGAATACTACACGGCAATGAGAAAGAATGAAATCTGGCCTGTGTAGCAACATGGATGGACCTTGAGGGTGTTATGCTGAGCGAGATAAGTCAGGCAGAGAAGGACAAATATCATATGTTTGCACGTGTAGGAGGATTAGGAGGAACTTAA